CAGCCATTTCTGCCCCAAAACTACTCTTTTTATTTTGCTTTGATATATATTATTAAACATATTATGCAAAGATTACTATAACATTATTAAAAACACATTCTCAAACAGTTAATTACGTGCATTTGGCATTTAGGCGGAACTGACTGCTTTTGAGGCGGAAATGTCTGGAGCGGAATTGACTCGAAGCCGCAATTTTTCTCTGACAAAACCTAAGTTTTTAGTAGCCCGCCTATCGTATTTGTGGTTTTGTACTTTTTAATTTTTTCTATCAAAGGACAGTTACGATCAATTGTAAGGCACACAGGCGCAAAAGTTTTAACTTTCGGGGAAGCGAATTATGGTTAAAACAATTCAAAGTTTTTTGCTTGAGAATCAGACCTATAAAATTATTTTGTTTTTTGGAAACTTGAATGCATTTAAGAAAAAAACATTTTCCGATAGTTTGCGTATCAATGATAGATGTCAGATGGCTCTTATTGTTCCGACTTTTGAAAAAAGTGACAGAATATTTGTGCTTGTAATTAGCGGACGGAAAAAGTATTGATGTCGTGAGCTCAAATTTAAAAATTATTTCATCTGTGATCCAATTCTTGGGGTTAAATTTTGGGGCAATTAACGCGCGATATATTTAGCGCTATTTACGCATAAGCGGAGATTTAATCCGTCTTAGAAAAGCTAGATCTGTTGTACTTTATAGGGCGTGTGAAGGAGTGATTTTTAAAAAATCTCAAATAGTTTTTTGTGTGATAAACTCATCAATTTTTTTAGAGCGAACACTGCTCCATAGATCTCAAAAGGCGTCGGAACATTCTAGGCCGCGTCTTGATACAAGCAGTTTTGTCTTTTATTTGTAATTCAAGTTAGAATTAAAGCAATTTGATTGTAACTTACGTTCTGAAACATTTTGCCTTGCGATGAATCGATTATTAAAAGTAAATAGGTTTTCAAGATAAAACGGTTTTGAAGGGTACACAATACGGAATGCGGAGAGCGACCAAATTGGTTTCTTAACCTCGTTAGCCAAATGACTGTAAGAAATTGAGCTCGGCATTTTCTGTGAAAAACGATGTTAAAAAATGGTCCCTCAATTATTTTTTCGTGTTTTAATTTTAGGACAGTTTTTAATTGCGAGCAGTTTTTTACAGACAAACAGACTTACTAAATTGTTTACTCTTTTAGCAATCTTAGACAGACCTCATCTCTGCCAAAATGCCTAGAGCGTGGGTGGTGCTAAGTGAATTGGAAAAACAGTGACTTTGCAAATCCATTAAACTAAATTGTCACTCCGTCTTATTAAATATTAAAATATACGTTCGCGTCTGCATACTAAATATAATAATACTAAAAATAATTATCCACAACCTGGGTCTGTTGTCTAACCAGAGAGTAAATTTTGATTAACTTGCTTACTTTAGAGAGATTCAAATTACCCCCCTGGGTTTTGCTTCGAGGTAATAACTTTAAAACCCATAAAAGTTCATTGGATTGATAAAAATGATGTTGTACTCGAACAAAAATTTTTACCGATATCGAAGATCATAATTTCCCGGGTCGAGGTGGCAACTTCATTGCCACGGGTCGAGGTGTACGCTGTCCCGACCAAACTTTAAAAAAAAACGTGTTCGACTGTGCTCGACATAAGCCAGACCGTCTCGACCAAGTTCAGCGTACTTTAACTTTCTCGACCAAAAAATCTGAAGAAAAGGAAACATATGAAAAGCACCTGGACGCGTTAGCTTCAACTTTGTTGGTTTTCTTTCGAAAATTTGAATTTATCATCATGCTTTTTTCTTTGCAGCACGATAACTATTAAGAGATTAAACATGAAGAACAAAATGTACCAAAAAAAGTCAATGTGCAAATTTCAATGAAGCATGTCGAAATTCTATTCAAGGGTACTTTTCGCAGCAAGCATTTGAAAGTTTTGACGTCCTGATGGCTGTAATGGTTATTGCTAGATCAAAATGGTGCGCTATAAACAGATTCCGCACCGGGTTAAAAAGACTTCTGCCGTGATATATTTTTTATTTTTGTAAAGTCCACCAACAAATGGCTTAATTATTTTATTGCTTCGAAAGAACGAAACTTTGCAAAATTTGCAACAAAAATTAGCAGCATCCAGTAAAGTTTGAGGAAAACATAAATGAATAAGAGTACTCGCATCAGGGCGAAGCCCTGAAGGTTCCGACGGCGTTTGAAGGTCTATGGAGCAGTAAAAAAATAAAAAAAATTAAATGGAATAAAAATCTAGAGTTTTTTTTTTAATTTAAGATTTATATGTGAAAATCATCCCCCCCACACGCCATTTAAAGCACGAAGTTTTAATTTTCGCTCTTGATAACAAATCAATTATGGCTAAAAAGCTTCCTTCAACCAAATTGGAACGATTCTTAGCACGGATTAATTCTCGGCTTACGCGTTAGTAGCGCGAAATAAATCGCGCGATAGTTGTCCCAAGTTGGCCAAAAAGCAAATTTTTGAAAACTCCATAACGTTACGAAAAATGTTGACAGGTGAATTCTTCTTTCAATTTTCAGCTCAAGACAACAACACTTTTTGAATAACTTTTAAAAATTCTTTAAAAATGGCTAGTGAAAAAGTCGAAATTTGTCTGAAGAAATAAAACCCACCCCGAGCACAAATTTTCTGTTATTTTCATTACGAAAGTCGGAACAGTATTAGTAAAATGAGCAGTGGGTTCCATTTTCACGGAATCCGCTTTTTGTCAGGGAAATCCGCATTTTTTCAGCGGACAGTGCATTTTGTAAGCTGGCTCAAGGTAATTTTGAAAGACCACCAACTAACAAAACTGAATTCGCAATAACTTGCTACATTCACTCATTGCGGCTTCCGCAATAAAACAAATGGGTAGGCAACATTTTGTCACTATTATTTGCTTGTGGATTCCGCAATTGTTTGATGCATGCTTAAAGGCTTGTCTTCAGATTCTAGGGTCATACACGCACCAAATAATGCGAGTATTCAGAACACAATTTGACGTCCTTATACAAGTTTTTGAGGGCTTCAATCAAAATTTGGTATAGAGTTGTTAAGAAACCCGTGCTTTATTTTGAGAAGCCTGTTTTATAGGTCACTTTGATCAACTAGATAGTAAAGTCTATCAAAAAAATTAGCATGTTGCTACTTTTAGTTCATCGAAAACCTTATATTTTCAGTTCCACTGTTTATGGCTTAAATGTCAAAGGGCTCAACAAAAAAAAACGGAAAAAACACATGGCAGCCGTAATTTTTTTTCGTGTCGCAGAGTTTTAATTAGAACAAAGAAACCCTACTATAAACTTTTTTGTGGTTTTTGGCGTCTTTAGAATTTTTTTCGGATTGGGTGGCTGAAAATGGAAAACGTAAATTAGTACCAAAAGGAGGACTTTTTGAGTGTGATTTATGTCAAATTCCTAAACAACTACTGTCCAAGTACTCCAATTCGCCACTGATTGATTATGCTGAAACTGTTTCTGTTAAATCACTTAAAAAATTTTGATATTGAAAAACCCAAAGAATTTTGACGTTAAATAGTTTTTCAAAAACCAAGTATTTCTTTTTGTTTGAAAAAAATACTACAATTTGCTTGAAGAAAATCAATTGCTTTCTACAATTTTAAGAACTTGGAGGATTTAAGAAAATAGTTTGACAATTTTTTTGAAAAAAGAAATAGTCTAAAAACAACTCATTTTGAAAACATTTTATAATTTTATAATAACTTGAACCATTAAGTATTGGGAAAGATTAATATCACTTCATTTATTTGTCTATATTGAGGAACACACACATTTTCTCGTGCTGATAATTTTCTAGATAACTTTAATTGAACTAAAAACAACTGTTGGATTTTATTCTATTTTGAAAATCTCAAGGGCCTCAACTTAAATTAAAAACATAAACTCCACAAGCACTCAATTTTCTGAAAACAAGGCACAAAGCTCAAGATATTTTAGTGCTGATTAATATTTTATGTGAAGGAGCAGACTTTTTACCATTTCAAAAATTTGCATATCTTTTCTTAAAAATGTTTGACAGGTTCCTAACCATTCGTCTCTACAAAAAAGGGGAGATTCGTTACAAGCTACAAAATTTGTACTACTTAACTGTGGAGTCTGTCCTTCATTTGGGGTGGACAGGCGCTGATCTAGCATTTTCTCGGAGAAACAAACTTTTAAAAAGATTTCACCGAATTGATATTGAACAAAAAACAGTCCTTTTTTGGGCCCGTTATCAAATTTTTTAAAAAAAATATCGCTTTCTGGTAGGCACTTAACAAAAAATTTATTATTTTTGCGCTAAGGGCGCCTTAGAAACATTTTTGGATCGCTCAGTCGAAAATGAATAAAAAGTAATACCAACGTGTGCGCCCCCACCTCTAAATCCACTACTGGGGTGGATATTTGTTAGTAGGTACAATAAAGGGAAGAATTAAAGAAGTAGTTCTCAAAATTATGATTAACACAGATAAAAAGGTAGTTTTATGTACTCAGATTTTCACCTTTAAATAAATTTTTGATCAGAAGAAGCGTTAGTTCAACTGTGCATATAAGTCGTCCGTCACAACCTTAGTCTGTGATCAAAGTTCTTCACAGTTACAAAATGTTTATAAGAATTGTTTGTTTGAACACTTTTCTTTGCATTCGCCGCTCTTTTGGTGCGGCCTTTTTATTCTGAGATTTTAACTAAAAATTGAGTTCTCTGCAGCGAGCAACTTAACAATATACGGGTGAATGAAACAAGTTTCCAACTTTCGGAACATTTAAGCTCGGTGGTTTTTTAGACCAACAGCGATACCGGTAATTTTAAAACCAGTGTTTTTTGAATTTGTTTAGTTGGAGATTGTAAAATCAAATCAAGCTCGCTTCAATTTTGTCAAAAAAATATGTCGATTTTCAAACAAAAACTGTGGAGACATTTTTTCAACTAAACACAAAAGTATTTCGATTGATGTTTGTACGGAAGTTATAGAAGTCAAAGTTTGTTTTGACGATGAAACTTACCATTGAAGGTGAGAAGAAAGAAATATAAAAAAGAATCAGGAAAATTGAAATATGGCATTAGCAAGACTATATTGAGACATGTTTTTGTGCTGTAGAATAAAGCAAGTTTACCTATCAATTATTAACCAGAACTCTTTTTAATTAAAACGCAACTACTTTTCAAAAATATTTATGATGCAATTTGAAAATTTTGCTGATTTTGCAGTCTGGTAGTGAATTATATTTATGGCTATATTTTTGACTGCTCGGTAAAATTATGCCAAAATTGCTAAGTTGAATTGGTAAGCGATGTGGAAATTGTAAACGGAAAATGGACGCTTTGGTTGGCCATACTTCAGAGAAAAAATGAACGAGGCGTGAACAGAAGCACAATGAAAATGAGATAAATAGGGGCAGAAACAAAAACCTTATCAAAATGGCATTCCTAGTTAGGACCGAAGCAAAATATAGGATGAAGAGTTATTAAGACCTAAGGGGTATAAAATGAAATAAATTACTTACGGTTCGTCTTTATACTATAAACTCGATCACGCTTGAAATGCTGTAAATCGTGAAAATTGAGGAAAACTTTACCTGAAGGCTCCAATAGATTCTTAGCCAAGCGAGTAATTGATCTGATTAAATGCAATCTTAATCTCCGTAAAATGAAGCATTTGTTTTTTTTTTCCTCAATTTTTCACGGGATTTTTAAAGTCGGTTAAAAAACATGAAAGTGTATTAATTCATGGCGTCAAATATGGTTGAAGCAGTTATTTGAGTTTAACAATTATTGTCATATTAGGTAAAAATCTATTCTTCTTTAAATGATTTCTGAGACCGACTTTAGGCGTCAGGTGGTCTTGTTATTTTATGTATTATTAATGGCAAATTAGTTTTTGTGAATTGGTCGAAATAGCTAATGAAGAAATTGCGGCAACTGGTCGTCTAAAAATTGAAATCATCCTTAGCAGAAATCAATTATGGAGAGAGAAAAAAATGCAGAAATTTAATTGAATGTTTCGTAAATGGTCTTCCTGAAATTTTGCTACAATAATAAAAATATCATTGAATATAGGCGCCATCAATTACATCAATCACATTACGCATCAATAAATGCCAAAAAGGACATAAAGTAGTTTAAAAATTTGCAATTATTTTGTAGAAAAAACACGGCCATATGTCAGTAAATACTAAACTGCTTAGTATATAATTTGATTCTACGCACAATTTGGGGAATTCAGTTCTATCCAGAAAATGTACCAATAGATAAGCTTACCAAGCAAAGTTCAATCGCTCTGATAAATCCAATATTTTCCTTGTTAACCCAACATATACTTTCTGCTTATCTGGTTATGTGTGAAGTCGGCCCGAAAGTGGAGAAGATTAAAAGCAAGCAGCGCATGAATGTCATATGTGTTCATTTATAAAAAAGCCTTTTTCATGTTATCATCATTATATGACTTCAAAACTATGCAAATTGTAAACTCCTCATAGGTCTAAAAAACTGATTTCCATTGCGACCCCAGCCATGTTTTTTGTATGAAAACTGTCAGAAATTATTCAACTAATTTTTATTAGGTTTTGAAAATTTAGATAAAACCTTCAAAGGAAACAAGTTGCAAGCTAATAACATTTTGTAACAATTTTAGCCGTGGCGTAAATACAGGAAGTAACGGATTCTTAAAACATAGTAAGTGAACGAAGAAGCAAAAAAAATGCATATACAAAAAAAACAGAATATTTCTAAAACCTTTTAGAAATTTTGGTTCACTATGATTGAAGAATTTTTTTCAAATTTCAAAACTGGGGAAGCGCTAAATATACTTCATAACAAGTATACTACAAAACAAGTAGTGTTAAGCTCAAACTTATGTACTTTTTTAGCTTGATTAATCGTGTTTTGCTCTGAAGCAAACTGAAGCTCAAAAACTTCAATCTAACTTTTTTAGGCAGTGAGAACAGTTTTTTTATTTAATTTCAAGCCACAGTTGATGCGGCAGCAAATTTCGAGCGCAAAAAAAATAAAAACGAAAGTAAAAATATCACACCCGAAGACCAAGTGTTCTTCCAATTTTCAGCCGGAACAAAATATCAAAAATATATATTTTTTCTTCATCAAACCCCCTTACTAACTGTAATGAAAATATTCTATACATATTATAATTTTCACGTGTGCATGTTTCCTCAGAGCAATAAAAATTGTTTTTTTTTAAATTTTTTTTCCGGATTACAATAACTTTAGTCCCAGCAAAGTGCTAACTACTTTTTCAAAAAACTACATTTTCAGGTTTTTTTTTGCTGCTGAAATTTTTGAAAAGAGTTTTTAATATTGATGCGCTACAATGAATCAACATGATTGCGGCCTTGTTAGCTCATTTCAGAGCATTGTTTTCAAGGTCATCTTACTTGTTCCGACTTTATTTATGAAAACGTAATTTTCATGCTCGGTGTGGTTTTTTTAATCAGTCAATTTTTGCCGATCGAAACAAAGTTTTCTTAAACCTTATTAAAGATATCGACTTCCTGAGTACAAATTTACCTCCGATTATTTTTTAAAAAGTTTTGGGGTTTGAAAATTGCCAAATTGGCCAATGTCTGGCCTAAGTTATGCGCGCTTTGAAGAATTTATTCATATTGCTGAAAGCGTAACGCAAACTATTTATGCGTGGCAAAGTGTCCCGCACAGCAAAATAAATATATATTTATATGTATTTAAATATATAAATGAGATGAAAAACAGTCGGTTCTAAACTGCTCTTTTTGCTTGCCACGGATTTAAAACATCGCAAACTTATTCAATGGCGAATCTCAATACTTTATTCGATGAAATAAAAGATGCAGTAAATATTGATCCTAAATTGAAAGGCCTATTACAAGGTATAATTGAGAATGTAAAAGGTGAGGATGATATCATTCTTGAATTGCAAAATCGGGTGCATCTTCTAGAGAATAAAGTTAATGAAATGGAAAGATATAGCTCAAAAGATTGTGTTATTATGCAAAATTTACCTTTACGATCCGGAAATTTTACCCAAGATGTCCTGACCTTTTTTAACGAAATTATGGGCGTGGAGGTGAACAGCTACGACCTGAAGGCATGCCATCCCCTCGGCCCTGTGAGTCAAAACCAAAAATGTGTGATTATAGTGAAATTTGTCTACTTTGAAATAAAAAATAGAATTAATGGCAGGAAAAAGTTATTGAAAGATTTTTTGCACCCTGTAAATAAGCAACCAGTGTATATAACAGAGAGACTTACTCAGCGCGATTCGGAGCTTCTTGATTATTCTCGGGGTTTGGGAATGTACACAGTTACATATAATTGTGCTCCTCAAGTTTTCGTTTCGAAAGCAGATGGTGGATTTCAAAGGCACAACTTAGTTGATATTAAGGATGCTGATCAAATTTTCAAAAACAAGAATCCATTGATGGCAAGACAGGCAAATATTGCTAGAAAACAAAACCCTCGTGTGATACAAAAAATACAAAACAATTTTTCTCGCCCTCCTATTGTTTCAGTGAGGAAACGTGACAGAGAAATAACCCCAAATAATGTGGAAAGAACCATCTGATTGATGAATTGTTCAGTAGGGTATCGGATCCCGTCAAGTTGGTGCAATTTGTAGAATCACTTCAAAGAGATTCTCCACAATCCAAATTCGCCAACAACGGAAATAATAATCATGAAAACGATTCTGATTAGTGGCAAAAGCATTTCAACTCTATTTACAGTTTTTTGCCGTAAACCTCTTTTGTTTCATTAGAAAAAACCTTTTGCGAGATATGACTGACCTGACAACAATGCAAACAGCATTTTTCCTAAATGTTCAATCCATAAAAGCCCATCATGACCAATTATCAGTTTTAAATGAATCCTTTGATAACAAGCCTGCATTAATCGGGCTGACTGAAAAATGGCTCTCAGACAATGATCCTATTGGCATATATAACTTAGAAGGTTATGACAATACTGTCTGTGCAAACCGCGTAAACGCTATAGGTGGGCGCGTTGCAGCTTTTATTGAAACTGGCCTTAACTATAATATTTTAAATTACCAGTCAGTTTGGGGCACATCGTTATCAAAATGTGTTTTGTCGATCACACTACACTAAATGTTTGCATAATATATCGTCCACCAAATCTCAAACTAGAACTTTTTTTGAAATTATTTGAAGATTTTTCGCTTGAATTGGAAGCATTACGTGGCGAAATTTTGCTAATGGGTGATTTAAATGTCGATATTATAGGTAACCAGCGCAACTTTTTTGACTACAAAAATCTTCTGCTTTCCTTTGATTTAGAAGTTCAAAATATTGAGCCAACTAGAGTAACTAAATCATCAAGTACATGCATTGACCAAATAATTGCGGCGGAGGAAACTCAGGTAACAACAAAAAAATGTACTATTAGTGACCATTATGGACTTATGTGTGACCTAAAAATTATTTCAGAAAAGCAAAACGTGGATTCTTATCATTAGGATTTCAACTATGATTTACTACTGAATGATGATTATTGTTTAAAATTTTTATTTTCGCTAAAAAATTGACTGAACAAAATTAATGATGATGATCCTGACCTTTACATCATTGAAATGACCCAAATCCTGATTGATGAATTTTCAAAGTATTGCTTAAAAAAAATCCGAAAAAAGAATAAAAACAACCACCCATGGATTAATCTGAAAATCAAGAAAATGATGAATAACCAAAATGTGTTACACAAAAAGTGGGTTCAGACACCATCCATTGAAAACAGAAATAATTTCACCTCATGTAGGAACAAT